GTTTAGGTAACTCACAACAGAAGACGGTTGTATAGCTGGGAAGTGGCTTTAGCTATCAGAGTTTTTCTAATGCTTCAAGACTTTAGGTTAAATCATGGTGGAAAGGGAGCTCTTGGATTTGGTGAAGTAGAGGGAGGTGTGATCAGTGCTAAGGTGTGGCTTTGATTTTTAAAGTTATTGCTGAAGAACAGTAGGGTTCTGGTTTATGCTTTCCAGTCTACACTGCAAAGCAATGAGGAGAGTTCTCAGTCAGCGGTTATGGTTGAATCATTAGTCTGAGGTGAGCAACAGAGCATGTTGTAGAAGGGTATAGTATGACAGTCTTAATGCTATTTCCGTACTTTATGTGACAGGCCTTGCACTGTTATGTTCCAAGATATGTAGTCTTTTGTTTCCAAGCGAAACACAATCTGTCTTCTTCTGGTCCTATGCGATCTCCTCATGCACAGTTTCTTACGGGAATACCCTTTAGCCTTTGGCATCTGACCAGAAGGTACCTCTGGCTCATCTGCCATTCAAAGTGTGGCACAGTGTTTGCCAGTTCAGGGGAAGGCCACTAGATGGAGTGTCAAGCAGAATAGAGAGGAAATATTGATATCCTGAGATTCTTCACTATATTCTACCCCTTCCTACCCAACTCCCCACCATCCCACCCCACCCAATCATTGGTTTTGTTTGCAAACTAACAGTTCTATCAATAGTAGTCACAAGGATTTTGGACCATTCTACACGCCCCATCTCCAACAATGGCATGCACATTTGAAAGATGTCCTGCACGGAAATAATGAGTCCACCCCTCCCCAAAACACATGAAAGTTTTATTTTAATGGAATAAAGAAGGGATCCATCAAATTTTAAACAAATTCAATTCAGATTAACCAAAAAATCTTCACTTTTTTTTCCCCAAACACAAAGTGTGCTTCTTCTCAGAGCATTTGCACAGGAGTGTAAGTGTCAAGGGTTATAAATTATCGACCAGATGTGTTAATAAATGTTATCAGAGGTTTCTAGCTTTTGCTGTATGAATATACAGTTAAAGAATCTTGCTGAACTCAAGTCGATAGGCCTGTTCCCCAAACTCTATAGTTCCTTAATTCCTCACTTTAAGCGCTCCGAGACACCGGCCCGCGTAAACAGCGCTAAGTAAATGCAAGTTGTTGTTGTTGTACTTGACTTACACTCCTGTGCAAATGTTCTGAGACGCACACTTCTGTTTACTTGAGTTTAAAATAAGTAAAGATTTTTTTTAAAAAATCATTTTTAATTGGTCTTGTTTAAAATTTGGGTGGAACCATTCATATCAACGAACTGAGAACCTGCCCAAACCAATTGGACATACAGTCCAGTCAGTCCTTCTGGCTGAACTTGCAGCGTTGTGTTGGTATAATGGACCAGTTGGGGGCTCAACCACTTTTCTTTGCTTGCAAAATATTAGATGGCAAAGTTAACGTTAAAGCCAGTATTGTGGTCTCATTGCTTTTTTTTTCCCCCCCGGTAAGTAAGGGATGAAACCTCGACCCCAAGATGAAACAGTCATTAAATTAAACAATTAAATTAAACACGATTAAACAAAAAAAGATTGAAATCTACCAAATATTCAGACGTTATTGTAACATGCTTAGGAATGCTTAGTGCTGCTGTCGAGTGATGCAAATCTGGGTTCACTCCACACAGAAATAAGATTTAATAATTTGAGTCATTTCACGAGGGGGTGTCAGGATTAACGCTGGACACATTTGTTGCTCGATCAGATTTGTGTGACAAAAGGCTGTTGTCAGTGAAAAGGCAAGAGCAAACAGATTAGAGAGTGTAAAGAACACACTTGATAACAATCCCTTGTCACCAACTAACTGCTGGGCAAACTTGGCTCTGAAATCAACCAGGGTGGAAAAAGCACCAGTGTTGGAACTGCAGAACAGGATGATTTTCCAACACCACACTTTGCTCCTTGCACACAGCCATGTGTGCAAGGAGCAAAGGAAAAGCAAAGGAGCTTTTTACTGATGCAAACTACCCCCCTCCAAAACAGTTGTCACGACAAAGGTGGGGGAAAAAAAAGTTGCAGACCCCCATCGACGAGGATTGTTTAAAAAAGGGCACCCCCTCGGTTAGGTGATCAAAGAAGGGTTTTGATACTCTCTGGCCAAAAGCAAAAAGCAAAAAAAAAAATCATCAGATGCAGTGGCTGCTCTGTTTGTCCACAGCTAACCTGCTAAAAAAAAAGAGAGAACTGCTGAATGTCTGTGGCAATCTCCACCCGAAAGGGCACATCGCTGCCCCCAGACTCAAATATTGTCGCACATGGTAGGAATAAAAAAAGAAGAGGGTGACTTGCAGCTGAAAAACCTGCAGCAAAGCGTTCTCTCGCTCATCTGGGAATAGAAATAGCAGGACAAATGCTCACTCAAAAGGCATGGACATTTGGACAGAGCGCGGACTGAAGGGAGAATGATGTTCTCCAGTTTCACCCATTAGTGAACCAACTAACAAACACAATGGTGTTGTTGTTATTCTTTTGCCACAAGCAACAGGACTCTGTGTGTGGGCAGCAGTTTAGTGGGGAGGAGGATAAGTCGACCCCTTTTTGTCCTATTGATTTTTTCTATTTGCATGACTTGAGCAAATTAAATGATGCAATATGGCTTTTTGTCACAAAACAAAGTGAAAGATACCACCCAGACGCATATGTTGATTCGTGGAAGCTGTTTACATGAGAATAAGAGTGAAATCTACCGTGAACCCAGCATAAAAATTCGATTCAGTCTGGCTATTTCTTTTTATGCTTGAGCCAGCAACACTGAAACACGAGTTTTGAAGCATCCCTCAGTGGGACCTTCACAGCTACAGTGTGGCAACTGGTGGGAGTTCTTAATGGAAACAAAAAAGACACCTGAATCTACTCTCTCTCTCTCTCTCTCTCTGTGTGTCTATGTCTGTCTCTCTTTACACTCACCATCACCACCACCACCACCCCTCCCACCCCCACACACAGACACACACACACACACCTCAACACACATTACACATGCCCTGACTTTTAATTTCAATCAATCTGCAGGATTACGAACCCTCCCCTCCCTCACATGCACACACACACACACACACACACACACACAAAGAGGCAGTAAGCACTGGACAGTTTTATTTTTAACACACACACACACACACACACAAACGAATCTTGATAAACACACTGGCACTCACATAAATGCCAGCTATAACCATGGTAACTGAAGCTGTTAGTTAGTCTGTGCTCAGTATCACAAATGAATCAAGTGCAGCCTAACACACGTTACATCTCTGTCTCTCTCTCTCTCTCACACATACACATCAGTAACTCACACACACACACGTCAGTAACTCACATACATACACACATCAGTAACATACACACATCAGTAACTCACACACACATACACACATCAGTAACACACACACACACATCAGTAATACACACACACATCAGTAACTCACACACACACATCAGTAACACACACACACACATGCATCAGTAATACACACACACATCAGTAATACACACACACACATCAGTAACTCACACACACACATCAGTAACACACACACACATCAGTAACTCACACACGTAACTCACACACATAAGTAACTCAATCACACACACATCAGCAACTCACACACATACACACATCAGTAACACACACACACATCAGTAACACACACACACATCAGTAACTCACCCACACATACACACATCAGTAACACACACACATCAGTAACACACACACACATCAGTAATACACACACACACATCAGTAACTCACCCACACATACACATATCAGTAACACACACACACACATCAGCAACTCACACACACACATCAGCAACTCACACACGTAACTTACACACACATCAGTAACTCACTCACACACACATCAGCAACTCACACACATACATACATCAGTAACACACATACACATCCGTAACTCACACACAAACATCAGTATCTCACACATACACACATCAGTAACACACACACACACACGCATCAGTAACACGCACATCAGTAACACACACACACATTAGAAACTCACACACATACACATCAGTAACTCACACACATACACATCAGTAACTCACACACAAACATCAGTAACTCACACATACACATCAGTAACTCACACACATACATCAGTAACACACACACACATCAGTAACACACACACACATCAGTAACACACACACACATCAGTAACACACACACACATCAGTAACTCACACACACACATTAATAACTCACACACACACATTCGTAACTCACACACATACACATCAGTAACTCACACACACACATTAGTAACTCACATACAAACATCAATAACTCACACACACACACATCAGTAACACACACAAACATCAGTTAACACACACACACATCAGTAACTCACACACACACATTCGTAACTCACACACATACACATCAGTAACTCACACACATACATCAATAACTCACACATACACATCAGTAACTCACACACACACATTAGTAACTCACATACAAACATCAATAACTCACACACACACACATTAGTAACTCACACATACACATCAGTAACTCACACATCAGTAACACACACATCAATAACACACACACACATCAGTAACACACACATCAATAACACACACATCAGTAACACACACATCGGTAACACACACATCAGTAACACACACATCGGTAACACACACATCAGTAACACACACATCAGTAACACACACATCAGTAACACACACATCAGTAACACACACATCGGTAACACACACATCAGTAACACACACATCAGTAACACACATCGGTAACACACACATCAGTAACACACACACACATCAGTAACTCACACACACACATTCGTAACTCACACACATACACATTAGTAACTCACACACACACATTAGTAACTCACACATACACATCAGTAACACACACATCAGTAACACACACACACATCAGTAACCCCCCCCTTACCTCGGGCTGGGGGAGCTGCTGGGAGTGCCTGGCCCGGGGGCAGCAGGACAGGCGGCTGTAGAGCTGGTGACAGGCAGCGCCGGGGGCGTCCGGTGCCGACAGCCTTCTGTCCCTCTTCCTCAGGCGGCGCGGGGCGCTGCCATCCCGGCACCTCCCGGCGGAGGGCCGCTCCCTACCGCCCCTCTCCCGCCACTTGGCTTCACTCGGGGCGAGAAAGTGGGCGACCACCGCCAGCACCAGCACCAGCACCAGGGACACCGGCATCTTCATCCTCCCCCTCCCGGCACTGCTGTCTGTGTGGGGAATATGTCGACGCGTAATCTGGTCCTGTAGGGGGGTGGGGAGGGGGAGGGGGGGGGGGGGGGGGGGTGCTGGTGGGTGGGGGGTGCTGGAGGGTGCTGGTGGCTGGAGGGTGCTGGTGGGTGGGGATTGGGTGCTGGTGGGTGGGGATAGGGTGCTGGTGGGTGGGGATTGGGTGCTGGTGGGTGGGAGGTGCTGGTGGGTGGGAGGTGCTGGTGGGTGGGGGGTGCTGGTGGGTGGGGGGTGCTGGTGGGTGGGGGGTGCTGGTGGGTGGGGGTGCTGGTGGGTGGGAGGTGCTGGTGGGTGGGGGGTGCTGGTGGGTGGGGGTGCTGGTGGCTGGGGAGTGGGTGCTGGTGGGGTGCTGGGGGTGGGGGAGAGCTGTGGTGGGGGTGCTGAGGGGTGGGAGAGGGTGGGTGGGGAGAGGGTGCTGGGGGTGTGCTGGGGGTGGGGGAGAGCTGGGGGGGGTGGGGGGGGGTCACTCCTGTTTGACTTTTTTAAAAAAAACTCACAATCTTATTTTTGTTTTCCAAGAAAAAGAAGCGGGAGAGAATCCCTACAAATGATTGATATATATATATATATATAATAATAATATATATATATAATAATATATATATTTTAACAAGTTAGTGTGCAATCTGTTATTGCTGTGTAGATATCGATATGGAATCAATCGGCTGAGAGGCAGTGGCTGAGAGGCAGTGCCTGGGCTGACAGGCAGTGGCTGGGCTGAGCTGGGCTGAGAGTCAGTGGCTGAGAGACAGTGGTTGAGCTGAGAGGCAGTAGCTGGGCTGAGAGGCAGTAGCTGGGCTGAGAGTCAGTGGCTGAGACGCAGTGGCTGAGCTGAGAGGCAGTAGCTGGGCTGAGAGGCAGTAGCTGGGCTGAGAGTCAGTGGCTGAGAGGCAGTGGCTGGGCTGAGAGGCAGTAGTTGGGCTGAGAGTCAGTGGCTGAGAAGCAGTGGCTGGGCTGAGAGGCAGTAGCTGGGCTGAGAGGCAGTGGCTGGGCTGAGAGGCAGTAGCTGGGCTGAGAGTCAGAGGCTGAGAGTCAGTGGCTGAGAGGCAGTGGCTGAGAGGCAGTAGCTGGGCTGAGAGTCAGTGGCTGAGAGGCAGTAGCTGGGCTGAGAGTCAGTGGCTGAGAGGCAGTAGCTGGGCTGAGAGTCAGAGGCTGAGAGGCAGTAGCTGGGCTGAGAGTCAGTGGCTGAGAGGCAGTAGCTGGGCTGAGAGGCAGTGGCTGAGAGGCAGTGGCTGAGAGTCAGTGGCTGAGAGTCAGAGGCTGAGAGGCAGTAGCTGGGCTGAGAGTCAGTGGCTGAGAGGCAGTAGCTGGGCTGAGAGTCAGTGGCTGAGAGGCAGTAGCTGGGCTGAGAGTCAGTGGCTGAGAGGCAGTAGCTGGGCTGAGAGTCAGTGGCTGAGAGGCAGTAGCTGGGCTGAGAGTCAGAGGCTGAGAGGCAGTAGCTGGGCTGAGAGTCAGTGGCTGAGAGGCAGTAGCTGGGCTGAGAGGCAGTGGCTGGGCTGAGAGTCAGAGGCTGAGAGGCAGTAGCTGGGCTGAGAGTCAGTGGCTGAGAGGCAGTGCTGAGAGGCAGTGGCTGTGCGGTGTCGGTGGTTTGCTGCAGCACGAACACTAGCGGAGAGGGAGAGATGTAACGTTTGCTTCGGATGGATGTGAGCAGTGGGTGGTGGGTGGTGGGTGTGTGGCGATCTCTTGTTCTTTTACTCTCTCTCTCTCTCTCTCTCCACATATGTGTGTGTGTGTGTATGTGTTTTTTTTGCAATCGCGGGAACTCGCGCCCCATAGCGTCATCTCCCACAGAGACAGGGAGAGCACACACCCCCCAACACACCCACAAACACACACAAACACACCCACACCCCCCCCAAACACACACACACACACACCCAAACACACACACACCCACAAACACACACACCCCCCAAACACACACACACACCCCAAACACACACACACACACCCAAACACACACACAAACACCCCCCCCCCAAACACACCCCCCCAAACACAAACACACACACCCCAAACACACCCACACCCCCACAAACACACACACACACACCCCCAAACACACACACACACAAACACCCCCCCAAACACACCCCCCCCCAAACACAAACACACACACCCCAAACACACCCCCCTCCAAACACACACACACACCCAAACACACACACACACACCCAAACACACACACACCCACAAACACACACACACACCCAAAAACACACACACACACCCACAAACACCCCCAAACACACCCACAAACACACACGCACACACCCAAACCCACACACACACACCCACAAACACCCACACCCACACCCACAAACACACACACCCACAAACACCCACACTCACAAACACCCACACTCACACCCCCAAACACACCCACACCCCAAACACACACACACACACCCCCAAACACACACACACACACCCCCCAAACACACACACACACACCCCCAAACACACACACACACACCCCAAACACACACACACACAAACACCCCCCCAAACACACCCCCCCCAAACACAAACACACACACCCCAAACACACCCCCCCCCCAAACACACACACCCCAAACACACACACACACCCAAACACACACACACACACCCAAACACACACACACCCACAAACACACACACCCCAAACACACACCCAAACACACACACACACACCCAAACACACACACACCCACAAACACACACACACACCCAAAAACACACACACACACCCACAAACACCCCCAAACACACCCACAAACACCCACACTCACAAACACCCACACTCACACCCCCAAACACACACACACACCCCCAAACACACACACACCCACAAACACACACACACACCCCCAAAAACACACACCCACACCCACAAACACCCACACCCACAAACACACACACCCACAAACACACCACTCTTCTCCCTCCCTCCCTCCCTCCCTCTAAGTGTTGGTGTGTGAAGAACGAGCCCTCTGCAAAACCTGCGTGTGAGTGTGTCCCTCTGCAAAAAAGTAGCCCCACGTTTATAAAAGAGGGAAATTCTTGCATAGGGCACATATGTTTAAAAAGTGGAATTTTGTAATATTATCTCTCTCTCTCTCTCTCTCTCTCTATATATATATATATGTGTGTGTGTGTGTTTGCAATTCTCCTGTCTCAAGATTTTCCCTTTCCAAATAAAATCAGTCATATTGTCCAGTCGTTTCATAGTGTCACAACACGTACTAAGTCTTCCTGCTTTCCCTCGTTGTTGTTTTTAAAGCTTGGATTATAGCTTCGTTCGGATATGAAGCGATTGCTGTGGTGTGTGTGTGTGTGTGTGTGGGGGGGGGGGGTGTGGGGGGGGGGGGGGGGGGTGTTGGGGGGGTGGACGATCTTCCAAGATTTCCGAGAGCTCAGAGGGAGTTAGTTTCCCCAGAGCTCCCAACATTGTCTGTGTGTGTGTGTGTGTGTAGCTCCGTGTATGTGTGTGTGTGTGTAACTTTGTCTGTGTGTGTGTGTAGCTCTGTGTGTGTGTGTGTCTGAGTGTAGGTGTGTGTGTAGCCCTGTCTGTGTGTGTGTGTGTAGCTCTGTGTGTGTGTGTGTGTGTGTGTCTGTGTGTAGGTGTGTGTGTAGCTCTGTCTGTCTATGTGTGTGTGTGTGGAGCTCTGTGTGTGTCTGTGTATAGGTATGTGTATAGCTCTGTCTGTGTGTGTGTGTGTGTGTGTCTGTGTGTAGCTCTGTCTGTGTGTGTGTGTCTGTGTGTAGGTGTGTGTGTGAGTGTAGCTCTGTGTGTGTGTGTAGGTGTGTGTATAGCTCTGTCTGTCTGTGGGTGTGTGTCTGTGTGTGTGTGTGTAGCTCTGTCTGTCTGTGTGTGTGTGTCTGTCTGTGTGTCCCTTCTCGCCACTCGGGTCTGGTTCACGCGATAAAACTCACGCTCAGTCTCAGTCGGTTAGACTGGAGGCAGGTCATGATGGAAAGGAAAGGTTGCAGGATCGTAAAGCGATCTTACTGCGTGTGTCGGCGTTTTAATCATTTCTGATTGAATGAGCCTCGGGATTGCGGATCGATGTCGTGTGGCATCCTTACAACTGTGCAGCAGAAATAGAAACTAATGAGGAGGTGCCCTGGGCAGCGATTTATATCCCTCTAAGCGCACTGATTTGGTAACTGGAGTTATGGATGGTCACAGTGGGGTAAATAATAAATAATAATAATCCTTGCATCTGATATTGCATCTGACAGGAGTCCTGTAGCTCAGCGGTCAGAGCACTCGCCTTGCAAGCGAGACACCTGAGTTCAATTCCAGGCAGGGCGAAACCATGGGCAAGTTTCGTTAATTCCACACGTCTAATAATAATCTCTCCAAAACAAACCAATAATAAATTGGTCATTTTCAATCCACGTCTGTTTGTGGGACACTGCTGTGCGCAATTGGCTGCCGCGTTCGCCCACAAATATACAGTCAATTCACTTTACAGTCTATTCTGTGAAGCACTTTGAGAGGTCGAGAAGATGTGAAAAGTGCTGTATCAAATGCAAGGATGATATAAGATTGATTATTATATAGCGCCTTATCACGTCTTCGAGACGTCTCAGAGTGCTTCACAGAATATACTGTGAAGTGGATTGACTGTGTTTGTGAGCGAAATGTGGCAGCCAGTTGCACACAGCAGTATCCCACAAACAGTCGTGGATTGAGTGATCAAATTATTATTATTAATTATTATAATTAGTCATTATTATTATAATGTTATGCAGCTCAATCATATATATGTATATGCAAGCTGTTATCTATTTATCCCAGGGAGAGAACCTATTCCTGTAATCTGTTTGTACTGAATGTTAAGCAAGTGATCAACACTTTTAACAGGAGTAGGGGGTAATTATACCAATTATTTCCTTTAAAAAACAAACTATAATTGAAGTGTGGATATTCTGTGGATGCCAGCGTGAAATGCGCTTTTTTGTTCCCAACTCCGTCCAGTCCCA